ATCTAAAAATAATGGATGACTAAACATTGTAATATCTAAATGATTTGTTTTTTTACAATCTGTGTTGTGGATTGCAATTTTCTCAATTTGGGTGGATGCTACGTTATTTGGTACAAGTTGTTTTTAACAATTTTCTCCTTATAGATGCAACAGATAGAAGTAAAATTATGTAGCGATCAAAAGCTCTAGATTTGAATAAAATGTTAAGGTGGCACTATATTTGAAGAAAATATATAGGTGGTGCTAGATTTGAAAAAAATGTTAAGGTGGGCTAGATTTTAATAAATGTATAGGGGGCACTAGATTTAAATAGAATGTCTAGATGGCGTTCGATCTGAATTAAATGTATAGGTGGCGCTAGATTTGAATAAAATATTTAGGTGGCATTGAATTTAAATACAATGTAAAGGTGGCTCTAGAGTGGCACTAGATTTGAATAAAATGCATCTGTGGCACTTGATTTAAATAAAAATTTGAAGTTTGCACTAGATTCGAATAGAATATATAGGTGGCGCTAGATTTGAATAAAATGTATAGGTGGTGCTAGATTTGAATTAAATGTATAGGTGGCGCTATTTTTGAAGTATGTGTTTGGGTGGCACTGGATTTGAATGAAAGTGTTAAGTGGTTATGATTTTAAAAAGTGTATAGGAAATGAAAAAAGCCTAAAATGCGTTTCAGCATTTTTATGATACCAGCTTTTTGTTGATTGCCTGCCTAATCAAGTTCATATATATATATATTGCAGATGGCGCTATTTAAACTCTACTCTTAATGAATGGCGCTGAATCCTTAATGAGTAAAGATGGCGCTCAATCTCTAATCTTTATAGGTGGCGCAATAGTTGCCTGCTTTCTCACAAGCAGAACGGACCTACTATGCAGTCCCAGAATTGCAGCTGGGGAAGCACTGAGTTTAGTTACGCATCTAGTATCCTACAGAGGAAGCTGGAAGCATAGATTAAAACAAAACTTCATCTTCAGCTTGGTGCACTGAAAGAGGAGTTTAACCCCTTGTGGGAATACAAGCCATGCACAACGATACCGGTTTTTTACGTGACCAGATGTGAGGACTGGACTGCCATATGGAAGATTCCTCTCAAAAGAGCTTTCAGGGATCACAACTCCCCATTTTGCATATGGGGTGCAGTTATGGGTAAATTCCTTAATTCCCCTAACTGGGAAACAGTATAAAATGAAGGAACACAGGGAGAAATCCCCTATACCCTTCTTCCTACAAACCTCCTTATCTATCTCCTACCTGCTCCACAACTCGATGTTAAAAGAACTATTTGGAAAGGCCTTAAAGTGTATAAACAAGAAACAAGAAGCAAGAAGAAAAAATAAATTGAACAGAAAGAAGTGAAAGGGAAATCTCTTGACAATAGAGATGGGTGCTTAAAGCAAGATAAACAAGAAAGAAGAAGAAAACTATAAACAGAAAAAATTAGAAGGGGATTTGACCTTTACACTATCTATTTTTTCACCGATAGCGAATAAAGACAAATACACAGGATGCCAGACGTCCCATCCCCACCTCTATGTCCTACTTGAGAAAAAAAACTGGAACATGTGTAAAACGCCCCCCTCACCCCACTTCCCCTCCATCAAGAGAATTTTATTGAAAGTGTGTTAGGAATGCAGGAGCTGACACAGTATCATGACTGAAGCAAAAATTAAATACAAACAAGGGAGAGAGAGTAACCTTGCCACTCTCAATATATAGAATATTGATACAGGGCTCCAAAAAAATAGTTCTGCCTCTGCAATTTGGCTAGCTGCAGAAAACATCCAAAAAATGCATTTATTTTTATTTTCAAAATTAGCCAAAGTATGATTGAAGAATGGACAAGGAATGGAAGATCAAGAAGAAAGAATAAACATCAAGAAATGTAGAAGTCTCAAAATGTTTCCATCTGATATCATATTGAAATTTAAAAATATTGTAAAATTTAATTAAAATTAATTATTAAAGTTAAAGATTGGTGGCGCAACCTTTGCATTTATCCAAGGAACTATGTATAGAAAGGCCCAACTCAGATATACGCAAATTGTGTACTGTACACTGTGGGAGGAATGGAAACAAACCCAGTGCCCCCACAAAAGTTGAAGGTAAAGGACTAAAGCTCTGATGTGATATTACAGTCCAACAAAAAGCAAGTTTATATATCAAGTTAATACATATGATTTTTGGCTTTCTGGTCAATATGGAAAATACAATAGCAATATATTTTTATTCCACCCCTTGGGCCCTTTTCCCTCAAAATGATGCCTTGCCCTTGAATTCTTTGTTTTGATCTCCTCTTACTGCAGTACACGGATTTGACGCATGAGATATGGCGGTTCCTGGTCTATTTATTTCTTGCATTTATCTGTCTAGGGATATCCAGTTCCTGGTGGTTTATCTGCCCTGAAGAAGTCAAGAAATGGAGACTGGGAAACCCAGGAACTTCTTCAACATGATGGAACTAAACTTTCTCAGGTTCCAACCCAAGAGATTTTTCAGTAAATTGACTGTTTGCTTAATTTCAAAGATGGCAATGCCCTTTTCGCAATGTTACCCTTGAAACCTTTTTTGATCAGTATTGGGATAATATTGTTGTTTTCCTAGGTTTAAAAGTGTTTAATTTTGATAATTCCTACATAATTTTCTGCAGTAGAATGTGCAGTTCCCATATTTAGAAAAACCATAATTGAAAATAATCAGTTTTTGAAATTATAAATATTAATATGGAAATTGAAATTGTGAATTGGTGAATCAAGCATTGCTATCTTTGCATGCACGGGTGGACACAGGATTTCAGCCAGGGGGGAGGAGCGCGAGATAATATAATAATAATAATAGGAACATAAAGCAAGTTAAAGACAAAAAGAAATTACTAGAAAAGTTAAATTTGGAACAATATTAAAATTTAGATTTGCAAGTTTGAAGTTAGATAGTAACAATATTATAAGTTTTATTTCTTACAAACATCTACATTTATCATTCACATTCAAGAGTTGATTTTTAATTCCTTTAAATAACTTTTAAATGGGGATCATATATGATTTATCAAACATTATTTTATCAATTTGGGAACATTTTATGTCTCAAAATCTCAGGGGGAGGGGGCAAAGGTACCCTCCCTCCACCTGTGGCCGCCCTTGTTTGCATGTAGGTTATAGGGTCACTTGAAATAACGCTGTTCGAACAGTCTCTTTCAAGATTTCAAAATTTCTCAAATTTGTTTTTAGATTTCCCAGGGGGCTAGATTTGGCAAAACAGTGGTTCTTGGTTCTCCTTTCTCTCGGGGTATTCTTGTCTGTACTGTCTAATAGATGGAGAAATAACAAAATTTTCCTCTTTTAATTGATTAAATAGATAATTTGAAATAGAAATGTTTTTCCCTAATTTTTTCAGAATTATTAAGATTTGTTATATCGGTAAAAAAAGGGCTTTAAATTCAAATTCAAGTGTAAATAGACTCTTTTTTTTAGGTTTAAGCTTGTAAAAATGTCATTTTGTATCAAATTGTATTTCAAAACATGTATTAACATTGTGAAAAAGAGCTTTATCAACTTATTCACTTAAAACCTGCTGTTCCCCCTAAATTACAAAAGAATATCCGTATTTTCAGCCAACCCAGTGTCAACAATGTTGATGCAACTTTAAAATGAGGTATCAAATCTAAAACCCCCTCCCCTCCCCCTCCGCAGAAAAGACTTTTTGTGTTCTGAATCTATTTAATATCTTAAATATTTATTTCATTATAATTTTCTATTGAACGATTTTAGGACCTAAACCTAAATTAATGTCAAATAAGTTGTATTAATTATTGCTGATAAATAGATGATATCAGGATCATGTTGCAAACATCAAATCAAATCAAATCAAATCATTTATTTCTGCAGAAAAAAAAATAATATTTACAAATTAATTTTTAAAAATCACAATATGTAAAATATTATTTTCCGCAGCAGGCGGACTCACTAGCCTGGGGCTGTTTTAGCTGAGCCCCCCTGTTAACCAAATTCTTTAATTGAATTATAACATTTAAAAAAAACACATACACAAAAAGAACCAAAGAGAAAATCAGTGCAGCATCAATCGAAGGCTGGGCATGGAGACAGATAGGGATTCATAACGTAAACAGATAGTAACTAATATATTTGATTTTAAAAAAGTTCTAGGGCTCAAAGTAAAAAGCGGGGAGGATGAATGCGTAATCCACCACTGGGGCCCAATCCCATTCACTGGTAGAGTATCTGCCTTCTCGGTGTATCATGCATCCCTCAACCCCAATCCCCTCAAAACATCTATAAAATAATCATCACAAAAAATTGGATCAACATTAACCCCCATATTAAAGGGGGGAGGGGGGGATGAGGGTGTGATACCCCACTGGGGCCCAATCTGTGAGAACACAAATTTTTCTAATCTATAATTTGTTAAAAATTACAATATATGTAAGCATTCATTTGTTGGTAAACGGATATATGACAGGAGAAAAGTTAGATTTATTATCATAAATAAAGCATTATTCGTTACTGCATTAATTTCATTAATATCTTTTTAACTCAAGATACTTTGATTTAACTTGATTCGTTGTTTTAATTTTAAAAAAAAAATAAAACAATGGTTGCCGCAGAAATTCTGTTGCATAGACAATATGACCATTTTTTAACAATGACCAAAAAGTAACGCCACACCTGCAACGAAAAAACAAACTGAAACTAAAAAATACCTCTGTGTTAGTCTGTTTTTAACAACATATATCGGTTTTATTTTTTGTTTTTCAATAAATATTTTTATCAATGAAAATTAGGTGAAAAATATTACCTTGACAGAATAGATCTTACAGCAAAATCTTATTTTCTCTTTCTCATTGTCAAATTGTCAATGTCAGGAGTGAAATAATTCGTTTTTTTTTTTGGTTACTTCACCTTTTTGCTTTGAAGGGATTTTTGGACTCAATCTTTTATTCTGTTCCTCATTCTCAATATTAAGATTGGAAAACGCAGTTTCTTGACAAGAAAACTCATTTATTTAACAGTAACTAGATAATCCTTCAGTAGAAAACTCTGTTTCAAGAGAATATACTTCATCTTGTTCACTGGATGGCTCGAATTCTTGACTTAGTGGCTTGGATTTTTGACTTTGATGACTTTGCTCAATTTTCCGAGGACTCCTCAATATCCTTCTTAATAGATTTTCCAGAGAGGTTAAATATAAATAATCCCATAACTTGTAGTGTTCATACCTAAATATTCAATCTTTCATTTATAGGGAATACAGCTGTAAAGCTTTAGCAACTGAACTTGATGCTTGCTGCACAAACACAGATATAACTAGGGCTGGGCACGTTCCGACTTTTTTGAAATCGTTTCGTTTGTTCTAGAACGAGGGCCTTCAGCTAAATCGTTCCGTTCTCGTTCCTCTTTTTTTTATCGTTCCATTATGGTGTCGTTCCGTTCTGAGTAGAAGCATGGTCTTCCCGTTCCGTTCTTGGTGTTCTTAGTTGAAGAAACGTTGCATCCCTCTTGTTCTGTTCTTAATCAAGAACGTTTCAATGCCCCGTTCCGTTCTCAGTAAAAAGTAAAAAAATTACGATTTTTTAATAAAAAGTTCCTCACGGCCGTAAATAATACTTTAAATTATATATTTTAAATTTAGAGTTAAAAGAATAAGCTTAGAAAATTTCTGGGCTGAGCAATGTATAATTTTGTGAGAGCGGGGGGAGGGGCGGGAGTGCTAATATCCTTAATATGTACGATATATAGAAGTTAAACTGAAACGTGCTGTGTAGACTGAGTGTTGTCAGTTTAGCAGAGACCAGGGAAGAGGGAGGGAAGGCCAGTTTAAAGTAGGGGGAGGGGGGTCAGGTAATTAAATAAAAAATCTTTAACTATTTCTAGAGGATTTAGAACACATGATTTAAAATGCGTTCCCAACTTAGAACAAGTTCTTGATAATGAGAACGCGTTAACGATTTTAACCATTCTTTTCAAGCAATTCCCATTCCGTTTTGTTCCGTTCTTTTAATAATGGTTCCAATATTTTTAAAGATGCGTTCTAAGCACTTGTTTTTTTACGGAACGATGGGATCGTTCTTGATCGTTCAGTTCGTTCTCGGGAAAGAACGATCGTTCCACAAGGAACGTGCCCAGCTCTAGTTATAACAATAGGTGTTGTTTTTTTCAAGATGAAGGGGTTTTCCGTTCACAATAACCCTGAGGCAAAGGAGTTACGCACATGCAGCGTGGATCAGGCTCTCTCTCTCTCTCTCTTGTAATTCAACACATGTACCCCCTGTTTTTTTTACCTAGTACAACATGATAATAACAAGTCTCTTAACTCTGCCTGAACCTGGAACCTAAAAGCTCTGTTTATTATTTTATCATGATTGCTAGAATTATCTTTAAATATAGATAATGTTTTTTTTTCATTTTACACTGTACCTGTTCCAGAACAATGCAAACATATCTCTACAAAGCTTTGCCAGAACTCGCAACCTGAAAGCTCGGTCTATCATTAAGTTTTTTTTTTGCCGCAAGAGTTCAATTACTTAGGTAGGATGATTGATAGAATTATTTTTATATATAGATACTGTTTTTTTTCAGTGTGTACCTGTTCCAAAATATTGTAAACATAGCTCTACAAAGCTCTGCCAGAACTCGCAACCTGAAAGCTCAGTCTATCATTAAGTTTTTTTTGACGCAAGCGTTCAATTACTTAGGTAGGATGATTGGTAGAATTATTTTTAAATAAAGATAATGTTTTTTTCAGTGTACGCTGTACCTATTCCAGAACATTGTAATCATAGCTCTACATTTCTTCTTTCCCTCTGGCATGACCTGTTATACTAGAATTCTAAAAGTTTGTTTAATCTTAAAACTTTTCATAATTTACTATTAATACTGAATATAATACTGTACACTTAGTGTACACTGTTCTTTTTTCCAAACACCCTATATTATTTATATATTTTCCCTAAGGCATTTTCTCAAAGACATATTCCCAAAGGCAATTTACCAATGGCAACTTCAAATGTAAATTTCACACTTCCCAAAGGTTAGGGTAGGCCCTCTGAGGCCCTACAGGCTGCAATGGAGATCAAGTACTGCAGAGGCTAGAGAGGCTAGAATGGACTAGGGGGCTGAGCGCTGTGACTAGAAAAGGCTAGGGACCAAGCCCTGTGGCTAGGATGGACTTGGGATGTCGTGGCAAGTACCTAACATCCCCAAGACCACTTCATGGTTCTTGCTTATTAAGCATGAACAAATAACAGTTAAAGAATTATGCTTTGAGGTTGGGCTGGGCAACTTTCATTTAACAAATGACAAGCTTTAAAAATTTAATGGAAGAGTCTGTTATCGATTTTAACTATATGTTAAAAAAGTCTGCCCTAGCTTTGACTGGAAAAACTGAGAACAAACCCTGTTTCTCCTCTTTATAACACATACTTATTAATGCATTTACCAGAGGCAGCTTTTGATAGATCTTACTATAAGTAAAACGTGAAACTAGTTAGGAATAAGAAACTAAGGTTCAATATCCTTGCAATTATAGGAAAAAGGAGCTAAGTTCTAAGTCTATAGAAACTAATGAAAAATTTCCAGAGCTAAATGGAAGAACTATTGGTTAAACATTCTGAAGAAAAAAGACTGCTGTTCAAAAGACAAACAAGCTTACAAATTTAATAAATCAATAGTTTTTTTTTAAATGTTGCTCATTGTTAAAAATTTAAACTAACTGTTACATAAAAGGAATATTTAAATAGTAAAAGCATGCCCAGTGAAAAGAATGGACATTAAGAGATCCTAATTGAGTTTAACTTGTCAAAGGGAATAAGTGGTATATGTTTAAACTAATTATGTTTAGCTTATAGAGGCAAAATATGTTTAAGATTGCATTTTTAAGAATTTCCTCAAAAAGATTTTCAAAAGGTTGCCCCTGGCCTGAAATTTTAATTGTACCTTAGGGTCTTCAACAATACTGTAGAAAAAGATGTAGAATCCAGAACAAGAATTCAGTATGACTGTTGCATATTGCTGGTAGGTAGAAGTAGGTAATAAACCTAACCCAAACAAGAATAGTGATAGAAAAAAATTAATTAAAAATTAAAAATAAATGTTAATTGATTCAAATTTAGCATAATTACCAACAAACCAAGGAAGCCCAAGCAAAAAGGAAAGACGAAAAGTATTTTTAACCATAGTGTGAAACAGTAGTTTAGTCTCAGGCTTAGCATCAATAATTCCTCCACTACGCTTGGAAATCCTCAAAATATTAATGAATTAGCAAGTTTCTTTTCACTGTACACTAGACCAAGTCAGTGTAACAGTGTACACACATGAAAAAATAGACAATGACAAGGACAGGTTCAAGAAGGAGCATGAAGAATCTCATATTACTAGCCTGAAAAGATATGTAATTGCAAACTTGTCTTTTTTGGCTTTGAATGCTTGATTATTTTTATTTCACAACAAGACCAATCATTAAAACTTCTTAAATATTTAATTTTCAAAGAAAATGTACCTTATTCTAAGCACCTTATAACTAATGTCTAGCACAATAATAACCACTACAAAGTTAAACACCAGCACAAATCCTTAACAGTTTACTAGTATTATTACACAATATTCATGCAACTCTTTATTGTGTGTTACCTAAAGGAACTACTAAAGCAGAGATAGCACTGCCATGTAACAAGCAGCTGTTAACACGATTCTCACAATTCCTGCAATTTTGTTTTTAAAGCAAAAGGTGACACATTTTGGCTTTTATTAACCAAAACTGCTCAGAGCCTGCAATTTAAAAGCTTCAACTCGAGTCGTAATTCCTTAAACCTAGCTTTAAGACCCAATCTTATAGACCAAACTCTAACAACAGCTTGTGTCACATGATTGGCAGCTGTGATATCTTAGGCTAAACTTAGTTAAGCCCAATAAAAATAAAACCGATCTTGGTTTTATGAACTCAACTCTTTGCAAAATTGTATGCAACTTAAATCTGAAAGCCCAAGCTGTAAATAAGGCCCAGCGACAGTGTACACCTGAGTTGTATTTTCTTGATTTTTTTAAATTGCGGGCTCTGTATCCAAACTTAATGAATTTAAGCAGCGTCTCAAATCCCCCAAAACTGGTATTAATTGAGTGCAGGCATAAATCTTGAAAAATTGAATACAATTTTAAGTGAAACCAACCATATTTGAGCCATGGCTTAAATTTAAGCTGCGGGTCAAATTCTTTAAATTCGGCCTCTGATATTTAATACAATTTAAAATGAAATGATAAATTTTTCTTCTATTTCTTAAACTTACTTTTGTGTGAAGATTAATTTATTATTGCAATTAAAAAATTTAAAATTATGTGTTTGACCTTTCAGCAAACAATTTTGTAATATCAAAAAACTAACTAATAGTATTCAATGGTTCTTCAGTATTCATGCATATTGCATTTTGCATGACAATGATGGAAACTATTCATTAGACTAATTAGCTGAAATAAATTCTGAATTAATTAGATATGAATATGGGTGTTTTCAAAACAAGAAGGTTTTAAAATGGTGATTTTCATAATATTATCCTGGCAAAAGCTCTAAGCCAATAATTCTGAGATTGCTGACACCTCTAAGGGCGAAGTCCCAAACTACTACTGGAGCTTGGTCTTAAAGTTGGATAGGAAAAAGAGGGTGTCCAAGGAGTATTGTGTAATAGCAGCACATTACATGCTGCAGGACATCTTGAGGACCAAAAATCAAGTTAAAACCTTAGTCCATATATTGATTTATTGTTCCACCCAGGGGAGGATGATTGATGATTGATGATTCATTTAGACCATCACGAATTGTTTCTGATATTTCAAAAGCACTCGAACTGGTAAACATCTCATCAATATCAGCTATCCAAAGATCAATGCAATTAGATCTGTCTGGTTCTGAGGTGTTAAAACGTTCCAGAGTTCCGTCGCAAAACCAAAAAGCTTGATTTTCACATGGATCTGTACAATTATCACAATTCTGATAAGCCGACTCATTGTATCTTGCTTGCCATTCTTTATTTCTAGAATCAATTTCTGAACATATGTCTGCTGTAGTTGCTGTTGTTGTTGTTGTTGTTGTTGTTGTTGTTGGTTTTGTTGTTGTAGTTGTTGGTTTTATTGTTGTTGTTGCTGTTGTTGTTGTTGTTGTTGTTGTTGTTGTTGTTGTTGTTGTTGTTGTTGTTGTAGTTGTTGGTTTTATTGTTGTTGTTGTTGGTGGTGGTGGTGGTGTTGGGTAGGTTAAGGTTGCATAATTGTATGTTGTTGTTGTTGATATTGTTGTTGTTGTTGTTGTTGTTCTTGTATTCATTGGTAAATTTGATAATGTTGGTCTTGTTGTTGTTGTTGTTGGTTTTATTGTGGTTGTTGATGTTGTTGTTGTTGTTGTTGGTGCGTCTGTTGGTGTGTCTGTTTTTGCTGTGTCCTCCTCAAGCAGAACAGGAAGGAAATCACCTAGTTTCCATAGAGAGCCTCCAATGACTCCAAAGGCAGGACTTTCAAGTATAAAACCATCTGATATTTCTCCAGTAGATAAACTACTTAGCATATTGTCATTCAAATTGTCTATCCAGGGATCAGTGCAACCAGATCTGTCTGGTTCTGGGGAGTCAAAATCTCCCAAAGTTTCATCACAAAACCAAAAAGCTTCCTGTTCAATTTCCACCAAAGAACCTGCATAAAGAGGACCCAGAGTCAGAGAACAGCTTTTTTTGGTAGACATCCCATACTTGCCAGTCCATAAAACACCTCTGGAGTCATATTTTGAACATGAGCCTGCTTCTTCTAATGATTCCATCATATTTATTGATGATGCCTCTGCTAAAAGTAAGATAATGAAGATTAAAAAAGAAAAAAAATTAGATTTTTATGCTGTGCTAATATTATTATCAGTAAAAAGCTGAAATCTGGTTTCCCAGGTTTAGGGAACACTCCTTGCTTCCCAAACCATTTGTTAAAGTTATGACCCATAATATTTTAGAACTTTAGAACTAGTGTTTTTTTTCATCGCTTGTTTTTCATTCTAGAACAAGAGCCTTTTGCTAGATTCTTGGTTCCTTGCTCGTTCTTATTCCAATAGTTCCATTCCCATACACTCTTTGTATTCTTGATCAAAAATTTTGTAATTTTCCCCATTTGTTTTTTCTCTAAATTGTTTTGAATGCATTCCTGATAAAACAATTCCAGACCGTTCTTTTCAGCCGATTACCATTTTTTCTTTTATAAATTGTTTAAATATTTTAAGAATGTGTTCTATGTGTTCAAAGGTATGGTTCTTGATAGTTCTGTTTGCTCTCTGAGAAAGATCTAGAACTTGTACAGCAAATAAAAGCATGTTCCTTTTTTAAAATCTTGTTGGTTGTTAATCATATTTTGATTAAATGATAACATTTGTTTTGCATTTTTTATTACTGTAAAAGTTGCACAAAGTTCTTAATTTTGAATTTTTTATTCATAACAATTTACCTTGAAGTAAGCAGAGAACTGTTATAACTTTTAACAACATTTTAAAACATAATATCTATGTATTAAAGATGCATAAATACTTTTTTAAACTTGCAAATTTTCGACAGCAAATCTATCAACATTCAACTACAAATATTTTTTGGATCAAAAAGCTTAATTTTTGAATCTACACAAGTTTTTAAAAATTCTATCAAAATGTTGTGATTTATCAATCATTTACATCCTGTCATATATTACAGGGCAGAAAAAATGTTTAGTTAAGCCTAATTTGGTCTCAGATGAATAAAATGTATATTCTTTTGTAACTCAGTTGGGGAACTATAACACTTTCTCGCCTTGTAGAAACTGAGGAAAAGGCTTAATGCTCATTTTCGGCCTTATAGAAAGCAAGCAAAAAACCAGAGTAATACAGGGTTGACAGATGAATGCAGGCATTCCTTGTTGATTATTTTGTTTTCCTCTGTACTCCTATAGTTACTGTTAGAAGCGCCTCTGCAAAGACCTAGGTCCTGCTTTGAGGAAAGCTTGAGTTTAACTGCTTTTTATGAGACTATTGAAGCAAGTTCTAAGCTTTGCATTAGACTTCTTTCTAATTTATGCAAAAATGACCTTAACAAAGTTCTTGTCAATAATTTATTTTCCATTGCAAATGATTGTTCTGTAAATCTTTTTGATCTTAGTAAATTGTTAGCTAAGAAACAAATGAAATATTTTAATGTCCTATTGGACCGGGTGCATGGAAATATATTGGACTGGGTGCATGGAAATATATTGGACCGGGTGCATGGAAATATATTGGACCGGGTGCATGGAAATATATTGGACCGGGTGCATGGAAATATATTGGACCGGGTGCATGTAAATATATTGGACCGGGTGCATGGAAATATATTGGACAGGGTGCATGGAAATTTCGGTTTTACAAGAACTTTTAAATATGAAAAGGAATAATTTCAATGTTGAAGGATTCAATGATTTTACAATAACTAAAAATGATAAATATGTTATGTAATGAGTAATATTCAATGTTGCCTATTTGTTCATAATTTTGCATATTTTTCTTTTTTCTTTTGTATAACTATATACTCAAATTATTTAAACAGATTTAAACTACACCATTTATATATATCTTTACATCTTTATGTGTGAATAAATCTTTATAAAAATAATAATAATTTTCTTCTACGGTTACAAATTTGCATATTTGAAGTTATGAAGAAGTTATGAAGTTACTAAGAAAGACAAGAAAAAATGTGCTCTTAATTATTTTTATTACAAAGTTTCCATCGAACACCATGGATGTCTACTCTTGTGTTTTTTTGATTTTATCGATGAAAAATTATAGCAATTAAATGCAGACATAAATAAAATCATAAATTAAAAAGTAGAAAAAGAGAAAAGTCTTAGAACAAGTCTATTGCTCGCTTTTTATCAGGCAGAAAACGAGCATTGCGCCTTTTGCTTGGGTTTTATAAGGCAGAAAACGAGCATTAAGCCGTTTGATCGCTTTTTATAAGGCAGAAAACGAGCATTAAGCCTTTTGCTTGCTTTTTATCAGGCAGAAAGCGAGCATTAAGCCTTTTGCTTGTTTTTTTAAGGCAAAAAACGAGCATTAAGCCTTTTGCTTGCTTTTTATCAGGCAGAAAGCGAGCATTAAGCCTTTTGCTTGTTTTTTATAAGGCAGAAAACGAGCATTAAGCCATTTTCTCGTTTTTTATAAGGCAGAAAGCGAGCATTAAGCCTTTTGCTTGTTTTTTTAAGGCAAAAAACGAGCATTAAGCCTTTTGCTTGCTTTTTATCAGGCAGAAAACGAGCATTATAAGCTTTTTGCTTGCTTTTTATAAGGCAGAAAACGAGCATTAAGCCTTTTGCTTGCTTTTCATAAGGCAGAAAACGAGCATTAAGCCGTTTGATCGCTTTTTGTAAGGCAGAAAACGATCATTANGCTTTGAACGCCATAAACTATAGATTATGATAGACACCTGTGTCTGAGTGTGTATAGTATTATCTTTAATCTTCAGGTCTGTGTTGAATCGGTCAAGCTTAAGGACATTGTAAATAGTAATATTATGATAGAACTGTCTCTTATCTATCTAAAAGTTTAGTAAACAAAGTGTGTAAAATATTGAAATATGTTTCATATTATAATTAAGCCCATCTTCTATTTAAATTGTGAACATGTTCTTTTTGTTTACATTTTAAAACAAAGAAGAAAAAAATTTTGCGGATTTAAAAAAAAAATTCGCGGATTTTCAAGAATTTAATTTTTTTTACAAAATTAAAAACCTTTAAAACACATTTTTTAAAATTTTCATCATTCATAAACCTTCCCTATGGTCACGTGATGTCCCACAAAAAATTTGGACC